GCCGCTGCACACGCTCTCTGCCTCTCTCTCTCTCTCTCTCTCTCTCTCTCTCTCTCTCTCTCTCTCTCTCTCTCTCTCTCTCTCTCTCTCTCTCTCTCTCTCTCTCTCTCTCTCTCTCTCTCTCTCTCTCTCTCTCTCTCTCTCTCTCTGTCCCTTTCTCTCCATCGCTCAACCTCACTCCACCTCCAGATTTTTTAGTGAGACCTGTGAAGACACCATTACAGTAGTCCAGTCTACTGAAGATAAAAGCATGGACAAGTTTTTCCAAATCCTGCTGTGACATTAATCTTTTAATCCTATGTTCTTAGGTGATAGTAGGCTGATTTAGTAACTGTTTTAATGTTACTGCTGAAACTCAGGTCAGAGTCCATGACTACATCTAGATTTCTGGCTTTATCTGTTGTTTTGAACATTGCAGACTGAAGCTCAGCGCTAACTTTTATACATTCTGCCTTGGCTCCAAAAACCATTACCTCAGTTTTATCTTTGTTTAATTTGAGAAAGCTCTGACACATCCAGTCATTGATTTGTTCAATGCACTTGCTCAGTGTTTGAATTGGAGAATAGTCTCCTGGTGAAATGGTTATTATAAATCTGGGTGTCATCCGCATAGCTATGGTAATTTATTTTGTTGTTCTTCATTATCTGAGCCAGTGGTAGCATGTAGATGTTAAAGAGAAGAGGCCCCAAGATGGAGCCTTGAGGTACCCCACATGTCATATTTGTCAACTCAGATGTGTATTTACCTATAGAAACAACGTTTTTTCTATCCTTTAAGTAGGATTCAAACACATTTAGAACAGTTTCCGAAAGTCCCACCCAGTTTCTAGTCGGTCTAGTAATATGTTGTGGTCAACAGTATCAAACGCAGCACTGAGATCTAATAATACTAACACTGAAGTTCTGCCACTGACTGTGTCTTTACAAGAGCAGTCTCAGTGCTGTGGTTTGGTCGAAAGCCTGACTGGAACACATCGAAACAGTTATTTAAATGCAAGTAATTACTCAACTGTTGAAAAACAACTTTTTCAATGATTTTACCTAGAGATGGCAGGTTTGATATGGGCCTGTAGTTGTTCATTACTGAAGCATCTATTTTTTAAGAGCGGTTTAATGACTGAAGTTTTCAGGGCCTGTGGAAAAACACCTGAGTGAAGAGACTTGTTTACTATATGAAGTAGATCTGAGGCCATGCAATGAAAAACATTTTTTAAAAACCCTGTTGGAATAATATCAAGGCAGCAGGAGGAGGATTTCAGAAGTTGTATAATGTCCTCTAGGGTTTTATCATTAATCTGATGGAATTGTGTCATGGTGTTTAAATTGATTTTAAGTGGACACAGGGACAACACATTTGCTGTACCTGATGCAGAGGCACTGACTGCTTGTCTGAATTTTGTCAGTGAAGAAGGAGGCAAAATCATTGCACACCCTGGTGGATAGAAATTCAGAGGCTACTGACACTGGGGGGTTAGTTAGTCTGTTGACGGTAGCAAACAAGGCACGTGCATTGTTTTTGGTAATGATGTCAGAGAAGAAAGACTGTCGTGCGTTTTTCAATTCCAAATTATAAAGGCCAAGTCTCTCTTTATAGATTTCAAAGTGAATCTGGAGATTTGTTTTTCGCCACCTACGTTCAGCTTTTCGACACTCTCTTTTTTCTGCTCTCACGGTCATGGCCTTTCTCCATGGAGATATTTTCTTGCCAGACACTTCCTTTACCTTAGTTGGAGCAATGGCATCTATAACATTTAACATTTTTGAATTAAAATGATCTACTAGCTCATTTACTGAGATGTTAGCAGGGGCAAGTGTGGAAGAAACATTCAGTTAAATATCGCTTCGTGGTTACCTCTTTTTGAACATTTTTGTGAACAGAAATAGAGCTCTCAAAGAAAACACAGGAATGATCAGAGAGTACAACATCAGTCACCACAACCTTTGAGATATTCAGACCCTTTGAGATAATTAAGTCCAGAGTGTGCCCCTTATTGTGTGTGGGCTCCGTCACATGCTGAGTCAGTCCATAGCTATCAAGAACACAAAACAGTTCTTTAGCCCCTCTGTCCTGGGGGTTATCAACATGGATGTTAAAATCACCAACAATGACTAGACGGTCAAAGTCAATACACACTATAGACAGCAGTTCAGTAAAGTCATCAAAAAAGCTTGCACAGTATTTGGGTGGTCTATAGATATTTAGGAACTGAGCTCGAGGAGCATTTCAGCTGAAGGGCCACATATTCAAAAGAAGCAAAGTTCCCATAAGATGTCTTCCTGCATTGAAGGGAATCATTGAACAAAATAGCAACTCCACCTCCTTTCTTATGCATTCTTTCCTGACTCATAAAACCAAAGTTGGGAGGTGTTGATTCGATAAGAACAGCTGCACTGTTATTTTGTTCAATCCAAGTTTAAGTTAAAAACATAAAATCGAGGTTGTGCTCAGTGATAAAATCATTGATTAAAAATGTAAAAGCAATACTGTTTATAATAAATACAAAAAAGAATAATAAGGACATAAGACGAGAAGAGGATAATAAAAGGGTGTTCAGTTTTACTGTCACTTTTTGCTTTATTCATATAGCATACAAATGTTTGCTGATTCATTCTCAGTCCACTTAGAGTTTTGGTATTGCTTATTTCCCCCCAAATGTAGTCTTCAGCAGCAACTTGCTTCATAAGACTGAACTTGTCATAATGTTCACTTGTAATATTTTGAGGTCAAGTGCCACATCTGCACAATATATCAACAATATTTCTATGAGCCTTTCGCATAACTTTCATCTAAGAAATATGTTACACATTATTTCATGGAATCTCTATGCTAGCAAAATATGTTTAAATAATGAGGCAGTCGCTGTGAACATTGAAATCTGGAAAGATATCCTCACTATTTTTAGCCTTTTCTTTAAACAGACCAGTGAAAGAATGCCTGGTATGTTACATTACATTGTGTATTAAAGGCTAACATGGGCAGGTCTGGCAGCTGGTTTAGCGACTTACAACAGGAGCCACAGGTCTGGTTACAGATAACATCAGCTGACGTCAACTGTTCCAGTAAATGTAATCAACACTGATTGGATTTAACAAGACAAACTAGATTTACATTTAAGCCTGAATATTTTTCAGTTAACATCAACATGACCGATGTACTGTAAACTAACCTCAGAAGAAAACCAGAGAGTTATTACCTAGTCAGTGGCAGGCTTTAATTTGTTGTAACCTTTCTGATGACTGAGTTTGAAGTCAGCTGTTACTTTTTAAATATTGCATTAAGGTGCCTTAGAGAGATATTTGCATACCAGGCTTATCCCTGTACAATGGGTAATCATTAGACTTTCATCAGGGTAATCTACCAATACATATGTGAAAAATTAAAAGGGCCCTATTATGCTCATTTTCAGGTTCATATTTGTATTGTGTGCCTTTTCTGTGACGTTGACCTGTCAAAAAGGTATTTATTTTTCTCATACTGCCTGTGTTGCAACACCTCTTTTCACCCTCCGTCTGAAACCAGAGCTCAGTCTGCACTGATTGGTTAGCTGGCCGGCTCTCTTGTGATTTGTTAACCGCATAGAGTTGTCCCGCCCCTTTGCCTATCAAACAATGTGTTGGAGCGCTAGCCAAGTGAGTGTTACATACTACATAGTGATGTCAATATACAATCTCACATTTGATCAACTATACTGTCTTTGCCACGGATAAGCCAAAATACTTGAGTACAATGAGGTCAATAACATCTAAAAGGAAGTACGGTTTGTGATAAATGTTTCCATAAAGAGGTTGATATGACTTGTATTTCAACAAGACATACCAAAACAGTTAAACTCCAGGATTGATTGTGAATCCCTCCACTCTTTTAGTCAATAGATAAATCAGATTCCCTCTCACCTAAGGTATTCAAAACATAACTGGTGTTTTGTTGGGGCCCGTATCTTTGAATAAAACGTGTACACAGTACACGCTGATGTGCACATATTTACATTCCACTGCATTTTCATTTGTGGTAAATATGACATTTGATATTTTGATTCCAACAAAGGTTTATAAAAAGGAAAATTATAAATCTTTCAAAAGAATAACCATGCTTTTCAAGTGAAAATGTTTTTATTCTATTTTCCAAATCAGCCACGATGGTAAATTGATTTCATGCGATTTAACTATAGATCAACTGATATGCAGCACGGAAACATACTTGAACTAACAGTCTTAAAGTAACATATGACATCTTTGAAAACAGGTACATTTTTTTAAGAAAAAAGCAGATACAGAAAATATGTACACAAATACATGTATATACATGTATAAAAACAGATTTGGATGGAGCAGTAGGAGTGCGTGTACAATTACACAATGCATGTTCCTAGTTTGATTCCTGGACAAAACTCTCTTCCCCACCATTTCCTATCATCTATCTCTATTAAAAGAAAAGGCACAAAATGCCCAAAAATAATTAAAGAAAAATTACACTATGTGCTGCAATATATATATTCTAAAAAAGTGCAAAGTATTCATAATACATTTGGCCTCTAACCCCAGATTGCATAACATCAGGATGTTACATTTCCTTCGTTCCTTTCGTGTGCAGTAAAAAAATGCGGAGGACATTTATGACATTTCAATAACTGGCAAAATTTAGTGAGCGAAGTAGTGTTAGTGAACTTATAATACAAACTTTGATCCCCTCTTACAGTGATAGACTGCTGAAGACCACACGCTGAGCCACTGACGCTTAGTCCTTGTTTATCACTGACTTTGCACTTAATATATTATTACCTTCATTTAAATATAGAAGCAGATAGCAGTGAGAGGCAGTGATCCGTTTAGGAGGAGATTAAAACTTTGTTGAAAGGACCGTGATATGATAGCAGTCGCCCTCAGAGTGGAGAGGTCAAAGGTTGGTGCTGGTGGAGTTCAAAATGTTGTGCTGGACCTTGGTGTCAGAGGCCTTTGACAAGTCTCGCTGTGGAGACAGAAAACAGCCGCTCAGTTTGAATCTTCCTCTGTAATGTGACGATACGAGGAAATGACAACACATATGCCATCAAACAAACAGCCGCTTGACATTGTAATTAATAATAAATGGCACACTGTGCATCCTGTTAGAGTGAAAAAGACACATAACACAGACAGACTCAGATGGTTTTAAATTCTGACACAAAATGAGCTCCCCACTGCAGAAATCCACGCTACAAAAGGAGCCAATCATCAGGTTATTCGCCTCAATCTATTGTGTGAATCATTGTTATTCCATTTAGGTGTCCATTTGTGTTGAATACATAATGTTGGCTTTTACTTAATTTTAAATTGCTGCAGTAAGAGCAAAAGTAAAAGTAACTAAATGCATTGCTATGGTATATGGAACAGGCCATGATGCTTCATTTTGTTGTTCAAAAGATCTTCTATAAGGCCAATACAGTACCTGATACTCTACATATGCCTGGGAGAGGGACAAGGGACTAACACTGTGCACAGGAGTGGGAGAGGATCTGTGGAAACTAAGTTAATGTCAAGGGATTTTAGATAGATATTAGGCATATCCAATTGGTTCTCAATTGATTGACTCGGAAACTCAACTTCACAGACTAGTGCTGTGTCCCAATGTGCATACTTCTGCACTTACATTTGCTATTTTGAGAGCCCAAGTGCATCCCAATGCAACAATCAACAATGCATGGCATTATTACCGATTGAGTGTTACCGAATACTAAATCAGTTTACACTCTTCATAACATAATCAACTGATCCTAGTCCACAGTGTTTGGGGCAAATGTATCCTACTCAACACTGTTGCTTTTCCTGCATGACGTTAGCTAGTGCTTAAAACAAGAATGGCTCTGGATCAGTCAGTAAAAGTTGAGGCTCTGGAGAGGCTTTAGTTCAGCCTGAAGTCACTGTCCAACAGAGGAACATGAGACAGATGGTTAATATAGGCAGCAGATATAGAAGGTGGTTTAGAAACACAGAAAGATATAGCAGCAGGGATCTGTCAGAGCTGTGAAGGCTTTGGGAGTGAGAGTGTTTGTGGGTAAAGGCTAACAGACCAACATTCCCTGTGTGAAAAAAATGCAACCCTTAAAAAAGGGGAAAGCCCAGCTAGCAATAACATTGACCAATCAAATTGCAAGCGCACGTTTTTAAGTGGGCAATTTACAATGAAACCACATCTGCTTCTACAATTTAACTCAGAATGACTAGTGAAAAAGGCCAGTGATAAGTGATACGTTTCCAGCTTATCTGTGTTAAACCATCAGAGAAGCCCCTTAAATTGATCAATCTGTTACTTAAACTGGATTTCTTGGTTCGATATTCAGCGCTCACGATACCTGAAGAAATAAAATCGTCCTTTCCAAAGCAGCATGTTTTTTTACACAGGGTCTATTTTGGTCTAAATGACTAAATCGGAACTGTGCATGCCGAAAGCCAAAACAGCAAGTACATTTAAAGGTAGGGTAGGTAAGAATGGAGAAACCAGCTCGAGTGAGCTAGAATTTGAAAGTACACAACCGGAAAACATGTGCCTCTTCCTTCAGACTTCCTTACAGAGCCCCTCCTCCAACACACACGAACGCGCACATGACCAATGAGGGCACGAGATAAGTTTGTGCACAGATGGAAGGCTGACAGGCAGGTAGGCCATGATTGGTCGTGCTTTTTACAGCGCCACGGCTTCCACAGATTTTATGTATTTATTGTCAAGGCATTTAATGTATTCCTTGCTATCGGGATGTTAAGAGCATTCCATGGAATATAACAAAAAGTGTTTCTGAAGTGAATTACCTACCCCACCTTTAAGGTAATTTCTCTTTAATTAAAGCCATGCAATCACGCCATAATGAACGAGTTAGTCAGGATTACACACGGTTTTAGGATTCCAAACACACCTTAACTGAACAGGTTCAGAGTTGAAGTCCTTCTATAATTAAATGTACATCATTAACATTTTCCCAATCTTCTTAAAGAGGTGTTGTTGCACAGAAATTAGGAAAAAAAGAGGCAGAGGAAATAGATTAGAGACAAAAGGGTAAATTACCACAAACTCTGAATATGTGCTGGCAACAGAGGCTATGCTGAAGTTAGGCTGTGGACTAGCAGGGGTCAGCAACGCACCGCTCAGAGGGCTCCCCTTCAGCTGCGCCTCGTTCTCCTTGTTACAGCCCTGCAGGCGGGGGTTGGGGGGTTTACCAACGCCTGGCGTCCGCACTAATGGAGTCTGGGGGACGCACGGCAGGAGAGAATAACATCAGACAAGCAACTAACATCTTTAGAAAGGGAAACTTTACCCACAAAATGATTATTTGTAAAAGGATCACTAACGCCATGTTACCTTGAAACATTAAATAATATTTTGTTTTCCCAATAGGCAACAAAGATATAAAAAAACAGCCCTTCATTTCCTCAAATTCACCAAAACTCTCGCTTTCAGGATTTTTGTGGAGGCATACGGGAGCAACAACATTTTTGTACTTAAATTCTACATGACAAAGAAGGAGTAAATGATATGCATTGATCCTTTTGTGGGTGAAGAATTGAAGGAAGTTGTATGAAGACGGACAACCCCAAGTTATCAGAATGATTTGAGAAATTAGAGTGAACTCAGCACAGGAAATAACATGCAGACATTTTAGGAAAGGTTTACATACAAATGCAGCATAAGTCCTGTAAACCACAGAGCCCCTATGGGTATACAAAGTAGATATAATAATAAGTTAATTTAATGCTCTGACTCCATCTGACATTAACATAGTTCTTCTGTCACATGATGTGTGCAGTCGCTGTCTTTCTCTCTATTCTTGACGTTTTATGTGCTTTATTTCTACTTCCTCTATCTTGAAAGGAAACCAACCTTGTTTGCTGAGAGAGGTGGGCGGGGCGCAGGTGAGCGACACACCGTCGCACCATACACAGAGCGGCTGCTGCTGTTTGAGGTGGCACTAGAGATGCTGGACGTCGCGTTGAACTAAAAGAGGCAGAGGAAATGGGTTAGTGCTAAGAGAGTCGGACAACTCCAGACAGTGAATTTGTAATAAAGCAAGTGTTTATAGACTAAATGTAATACTATCGCACCTTTCGTGTTTTGATGGGGGTAGTAGTGCCTAGGAGTCTGCGCTTGGTGGGGGTTCGTACGGCTGTTCCATACAGCATGTCCTCCTCGGTCTGTTTGCTCTTCTTTAGGTGCTACAAAGAGATTGTAACGTTTCAACACATTTCCCAGTTAAATTACAATTATAATACAGAAAGGCAGATTGTTTACCCTCTCTTGTTTTTCCTTCTCCTTCTCTATTCGGTGCAGCTCCCACTGTTCCTCCACATACTGCAGGAACTTCTTTCCGTGTACTAAAAACTCACGGTCCTGTTCACTTTCCCATGTATCGATCTGGGCTTTTAATTTATTTTCCAGCTACAAAAAATTAAAAAACAAATCAATGTTCAGTTATCGTCAAATTGTAAGAAAGTTACAAAATATGTTACGGTTTAGAAATCAGTGATGCAAACACAGGTATGGTGAAAAAAGAGAGAACTATTCGAAGCAGAAAAAAAAGAGCGTAATATATCATCTGACAAAGGCCTGTGCTATAATGCTTCAATTAACTGCTATTCTTTATAATATACTCAGACCAATAGGAGACAGAGATGTTAAGCGACTAATTTGCATCACTGAGAAATGAACAGGCAGTCCTTTATGTCTTACCTTGGGCAGGCTTTTATGCAGCTCAGACCTCTGTTTCTCCTCTTTCAGAAGATTTCCTCCTCTGTTAGTGAATCTGGTCGGATCTGTGGCTTTTTTCTGTGATTGAGAAAGACAATAACCTGAATAAACTCTATAACATGAAGCAATGTAACCAAAAAACACAAATAAATTCAGGGGTTTAATGATTGTGGGTGCGTTTGTCTGTTCAAACTAACAATCTAAAATGTTTCTATTCTTAATGTTTTTTGAAATACATTTAAAACCATAGGCTTAAGCTATATATGAGTTAGACAAAATGTAAGTTAGTTATCGAGCTTAGAAGTTTGTTACAATTTTGTAATACATTGAGAAGCAGAACATTCATAAAGTCAAGTCTTCCCCTGGATCAACCAGTGTTTATGTATTTTCCTTTATTTGTGTGTGTTGCTTTTATGTTTATTTCTGTCTTTTTGGTACATAGTCTGTCACAGAATATATCATACAGTAGTATTACAAAGTTATGAAGGTTGAATAGAATACTGCTGATTCTGGACCAATCTGATGGGACTAGGGGATTCAAAGAAATTCTTACTACTCCTACATGTAACAACTCATCATGTCTTTGTCTTTTGGGGGAATAATAGCTGACAGTTATCTGTACAGCCAACCAGCCTCAGATGCTTTGAGAGTTGTGTTGTCACCCTGTCGCAGCGTACTCACCTCCAGATCGAGGAAGAGTCTCCAGCTGTCTTCCCACTGGTGGACCCCATCAAACAGATCTTGGTGCTCCTCATAATGCTGCTTCAAGCGCTGGATTTCAGCATCATGCAGACTCAAAAGCTCTTCAGTAAAAGTCTCTAAAGAAATGGCAAATTAGAGTCTTAGATTATTTATTTTCTAAAACAAAAATGCTGTATGGACAGATAAAATGTCTAACAAAAGAGCATACCGCTAAAATATGGAGCGAAATCCTGCCGCTGGTCAGTGCTGAAGAAACATTTTTCCCAAAACACAGCGATCTCGGAGCGGATGGCTTCGGTGACGTTGCAGATGTTTAGCAGTTTGAGCTCCTCCAGACGCTGCACCTCTGCTCGTAACTGAGAAAGGAAAAGAAAGTGTTAAAAAAGAAGCCAGACCGACCGAGCCTATCCCGGAATGAAGATAACTAAAAATAAACGAACTAGGCAGTCAAGCTTCTCACCGCTTCCAGGTTCTTCTTCCTGGACGAGACCATGTGATCATTGAAGGCCTCCCTGTCCTCCTGGGGAACCTGCAGTCTGTCCCACAGCCGCTGGATCTTCTCTCGGTTAGCCTCACACCTCGCCTCGTTCTCCACCTTGCTTTCCTCCAGCTGCAGGGTCGACATGACACACCAAAATGACTGCTTGAACTGTCGCTATGCATCAGTTGATATAAGGTGGGCAACAAATCAAATCAATGTATACAGCCCGATATCATTAATTACATGTGGCCTCAGGGGCATTTACAGTTAGTACAATTCAGATCTGATTAAAACACGATCAAATGACAACATGGACAATCCAGATGACAAAAGAGGATAATGTGAATGCATGTCAAATAAAGAAACCAGGAGGATGTTCATGACAAGCCTGAGCCAACCTTAACTGTAAGCTTTATTTAAAAAAGAAAGTCAGTTCTTAAATGTGGAGAGGGTGTCGCCTGCCTCCCAAAAACAAATTGGAATCTGGTTCCAGAGAACAAGAGCTGTATAGCTGAAGGCTCTGGCTCCCGTTGTTTACTGAGACATAAGGAACCACTAATAACCCTGCCTTCTGGAAACGCAATGCTCTGGTGGAGTTAGAGTAGGAATCGGTTTGTTTTTTTACATTGTAGCATTATAAAAAACATCTAGTATCAGCCAACAACACATCCGTCAAATAACAGGACAGATTGCAGGGGTAGACAATAACCCCTCCGGGCCGGTGGAATTTTATTATCACTGGCCCCACCATTGTAACCACTGGCCCGGGGCATTCGTTCCAAAAAATCAACTAATCATGAAGAAAATGAACAGATTTGTTGCAATAGTAATTTATGCACTAACTTTACTACAATATTTGAATCATCAGTTCTTCCTCATTTCCCTCAATTATTCATATTTGGTTTATTAAAATAATTATATTGTGGTCATTGTTAAAAAATGTCTGCTATTATGAGTATTATTATATGTATAATGCGCTTTCTGCCTTCCTGTCTAGGAGTTAGTCATGTAATGGCCATAGATTAGATCCTTCATTCTCTTAAACTGCTGGGACATTTCCCTATAGCCAATACCATTATATTTTCTACTCTTCACTTACTTGTCAGCATAGGTCGGCATTGATGTACAGAGCCGACAGAAGACCTTGTTTATATTGGCATCATATTGAGAGGTGCAGCCAGTGACGCATCCTAAAAGGAAGTAAGCTGCTGGTTCCCTCGACAAAATGCAATGGGATTTCTCCACAGGGTTTTGGAAAATAGCTGGAAATAAGGTCTGTGGAAAACAAACCGGTTTGATAAATGCACGTTTTGTTCAGCCGGATAATCTCCACACCCTACTTTTATAAAATTATAAAAAGGGTTTTAGGATGCGTCACTGCACCACTCTATAGAAGCCAACTCCCTCGATTAAGCCAGTGTGGCTGAACATTTCTCTCCCTCTTCTTCTCATGCTCCCTGTCACTCTCCTTTAACTCCCCCGGTGACTTTCTTTTATTTGAAGATCATTTTTGTCCGGCGCTTGGCCAGTTACCGCTGGTATTAAAAACATTTTGGCGAATGGTTAGGTGGCGCGAAAGTCTGTAGTGAACGAGCGCTGCGCTCCCGCTGCGCTCCCGCTGCGCTCCCGCTGCGCTCCCGCTGCGCTCCCGCTGCGCTCCCGCTGCGCTCCCGCTGCGCTCCCGCTGCGCTCCCGCTGCGCTCCCGCTGCGCTCCCGCTGCGCTCCCGGGAGCCTGCTCGCGCTGCGCTCCCGGGAGCCTGCTCGCGCTCCCGGGAGCCTGCTCGCGCTGCGCTCCCGGGAGGCATGCTCGCGCTGCGCTCCCGCTGCGCTCCCGCTGCGCTCCCGGAGCCTGCTCCCCGCTGCGCTCCCGCTGCGCTCCCGGGAAGCCTGCTCCCGCTGCGCTCCCGCTGACGCTCCCGGAGCCTGCTCCCGCTGCGCTCCCGCTGCGCTCCCGCTGCGCTCCCGCTGCGCTCCCGCTGCGCTCCCGCTGCGCTCCCGCTGCGCTCCCGCTGCGCTCCCGCTGCGCTCCCGCTGCGCTCCCGGGAGCCTGCTCGCGCTGCGCTCCCGCTGCGCTCCCGGGAGCCTGCTTGCGCTGCGCTCCCCGGGAGCCTGCTCGCGCTCCCGGGAGCCTGCTCGCGCTCCCGGGAGCCTGCTCGCGCTGCGCTCCCGCTGCGCTCCCGGGAGCCTGCTCGCGCTGCGCTCCCGCTGCGCTCCCGGGAGCCTGCTCGCGCTGCGCTCCCGCTGCGCTCCCGCTGCGCTCCCGGGAGCCTGCTCGCGCTGCGCTCCCGCTGCGCTCCCGCTGCGCTCCCGGAGCCTGCTCGCGCTGCGCTCCCGCTGCGCTCCCGGGAGTCCTGCTCGCGCTGCGCTCCCGCTGCGCTCCCGGGAGCCTGCTGCGCTGCGCTCCCGCTCACGGGAGCCTGCTCGCGCTGCGCTCCCGCTCACGGGAGCCTGCTCGCGCTGCGCTCCCGCTCACGGGAGCCTGCTCGCGCTGCGCTCCCGCTCACGGGAGCCTGCTCGCGCTGCGCTCCCGCTCACGGGAGCCTGCTCGCGCTGCGCTCCCGCTCACGGGAGCCCTGCTCGCGCTGCGCTCCCGTCACGGGAGCCTGCTCGCGCTGCGCTCCCGCTCACGGGAGCCTGCTCGCGCTGCGCTCCCGCTCACGGGAGCCTGCTCGCGCTGCGCTCCGCAGGAAACAGCTGTTTGCTTTTCACCCAACAACGACAACCGCCTCACGAAACGCTATGTTGTAGCGTTAATAAACTAAACAATTTAACAAAATGGCTTGGCAAAATACCAATACCACAGGACAATTTTTTTTTTAAACCAATATTTTTAGTGGCCCGAGCGGGCAAGTGGAAAGTACGTTATGCTGGCCCGGGGGGTCTGAAAAGTGCTTCCGGCCAGCGGGCCATTTATAATGTCGAGCCCTGGATTATATAATTTGTTGAAGAAAGGACTCCCCTTTATCTTAAATGGGGTTGCTTAAAATGTTATCAAATGCAATGCTAGGAAAAACATCTTACCTGACAGACAAGCAGTTTGAGTGAAGAGATGTTGTCTCTTGAAAGGCAAAAGGCGTCCTCGTCCTCGCAGACGACGTCCTTCTCGAAGCTGGTCTCGGGGGTGTGTTCCAACTCTGCCATGTACAGGATGATCTGCCTTTTCAGGTCCGCAAACTCAGCATACCGCTTCAGCTGAAGAGCACAGTCCATTAGTATAGACCCGATTTTTTGCCCATGGCAAACGTTTCTGTGGTGTTGCTGACCTTTAATTTGTTGTGTAAGCCTGATATGTAGTTTTATATTAAAAAAGCACCATCTTATATGTTAATTATAATAATTCAGAAGCATTGAGCATTAGGAGTGTATATACAATTGTCAATTGAGGACAGACTTTGGGGAAATCCAGCCTATGCTTTTTGTTTTGTTACTTGTAGGCTTCTGCAGTTCAGTAGGGAATATTATGAAAGATCAGGTTGCAAAAGGAATTCTCCATATTTCCTAAAGTGACGTGACTAGAGAGAAAATGGAGTAGCTGGTATACAACTCCAGGAATTGTGACACAGATTTTTCTTCTAATATAATAACAATAATGTTGTTTCATGTGAAAACAACAACCAACCCACATGACAACCTAACAGACATTTTAATACTTAAAAAAAAAAATACACCTCAACTGTAGTAACTTTCTTGGACGTGAGATAATCAGCACTATTTTGATTTTATACTACTACGTTTGAAATGGCTGCATAGAGGGAAGGAGGGTTTACATTTGAGTAAACTACTGAGAGCGTGCATTAAATAAATTGCCAAAATTAGGCTTTCATCTAAAATAACTAGACAGGGTGGGTGTAACATAGCGAGCTCCCACCTTCTCTGTGTTCTGGCTGGCCACGTGCTGGCTGAAGCTCTCCAGTTGTTCCAGTGTGGGGACAGAGTCTGCAGAGAGGCCGTAGAGCTCGGAGCACAGGATGTCACACAGGTCCTGCTCCTGCTCCAGCAGAGCCTTCAGCTGCTGCATGCGCTGAGCCTTCTCCTTCAGCAGAGCCTCCACCTGTGTGCGGATGTTATTCTCCTGCTGCAGCATGCTGATGCCACTCTCCTCCTATCACACAGAAGATAACAACAAGAACACTTTATAGGGGATACTTAAGACATTTAAATCCGTTTTAGCATCAACCAACTCATAACTACTCTACTTATTATTAACAAAAACACAGCTAGTTAGCAGGTCAATCAATCAATCTGAATTTACAGGAAAACCAATGATTTGCTCTGAATGCAGGGGGTTGTGTTTTTAATCACAGTAGATGGTTCTTACCTCGAACGCATTCAGCTGAAGCTCCAGGCAGAGTTTCTCCATGTCTGTCCTGCATGTTTGAATGCTGATTACAAGTCTTTGTCTCAGACATTCCTCTTCCTTGACCATCATATCTAGTAAGCTCTGCAGGACAAAGAACAGAACATAAATCATCATTATGAATACAGAGGTGTGAAGATATTGCAAAAGTTGCAGTCCAGTAACCAATCATTTGATGGTTTTTTTTGGTCAATATGGGAAGATATACATATTTTATTTATTTCCAATTCCATATATCTAGTTTTGAGTAAAACTGGTCCTTGGTGCAGACACATTTGTATAAGAATGCTTCTTTAATGGTCATAGTTTTAGTTCACACTAAAGTTACCTGCAAATATTCAACTTTAAAAAAAAGATCACATGACTGTCTGTGTCATAACATATTTTTCTTTCACCAGTTTGTTTACTTGAAGCTTCATTGTGTTGCCTCAAGTAAAACATATTTCTGGAAATATTAACAAATATGCTGTCTATAATTCACACAAATGTAGATATTACAATTATATATATAAAAAAATGTAAGTCTTGATTTAAAAAAAAAAAAATTATACATTCATCATTCTGAATATCAACCTGTGTTATATAATCAAGTAGCAGTTAGGATCTAGTGCAAAGTTGTCTGAATCATTGCACATTTGATCAATGTTTTCCTGCACAAAACTGTTCTTTGGTACAGTTATTTCCTCTTGGAAAGATATATTCTGCATATTTTTTATATTTTTTCTGTTCTATATTATCTTTCCTTACTTTGCTTTTTATTTTCTCATAGCAAAACACCATGGCAAAGTGCATGGGAACATCTTGCAACCCCCAAATGTAATCTCTTCTTTGCATACGAACGATCGGATTCCTCGAGTGTAGGATGGCTGGCTCTCTGCAGAAGCCCCCCACCCACGTATGTCGAAACCTGTTCATTATATCTGATCTCGTTACATTAGCTGACAGAATAAAGCAGCACGTTCGCAGACATGCTGATGATGGCTCACCTTAATGTGGTTTTTGACAACATTAGTCCTCTGTAGTCTCTGGTCCTCTGGGATACCGATCTCCTCCCAAATGTCCTTCAGGTGGCACAGTGCTTTATTCAGACAGGACACAGACTCTGCTGCGAGCACCTCGCTACAGAGACGGCAGACAGACAGTGGAAAACATTGTCAACTCGGTTTTGAATACATAGTTCAATGGAACCCGTAGGGAAATTTAAACCGAAGAAAACAGAATTCAAGTTTCTGATCGAGCTAACAGACGTTAGAAATAGTTAAGCTAACGGTTAGCCACCTGCTGTAAATACGTTTAGGCAACTTTACGTTTAACACACTGACTCCATGGCGAAAAAAAGTGTTAAACCATACCTCTTCCTCATTGTTAAAATCCAATATGTTGTGTTCCAATATCGGTGAAGAGTTAAAAACAACTAATGTTAACCGTAAACGTGTCCCAGAGACGAGCGTCGCCTCTCTACCAGCTCTCTGCCCGGTCAGTTTGTACACAGTTCAAAATACGCGTTCAGCGGCGTCCTGCTCTCTGATTGGCTCCTTCTGTAGGAGCGCTTGTTGTATTAAACTCATGCCGGCCCGCTGGAGTTTCAGCCGTTATGATTGAAGCTGACCCGCCCATTGTCGAACAACTTGTGAATAAAACAAACACACCAGGAATGGAGGGTGTGGTGTTTAGCAGAAGTTTGGTAATGCTGTTAATTTTAGACTGACAAATTCTCAGCACAGCGGTGGCGGAAGATGTATTCACAACATAGAAGTCCAGCGTTCAGAACATTAAAGTAATAGTACTCAACCTGTAGTGGTCCGTTTATTTTTGTATCTTATGTGATGTTTTTGGATTACCACTAATTACCATTTGACTCCTGTCGTTGGTTGTGCTCATTTTGAGTATGTTATATACTGTAGGGTAGTGTTATTTATAGCAATGCATCATACTCTTTAAGATAATAAGGTAAGATAAAAGAACATTTCCCTCTGAGATGTAGTGGAGTTGAAGTAAAAAGTTGCATCAAAAGGGAAATACTTAAATAAAGAAGTACAAGTACCTCAAATGTGTACGTAAATATGCTACTTGAGTAAATGTCCGTCCTCTGCCAAACTGCACAAAAAATGAACAACCAACTAACATGTTAAAAACATTTATTCACTTTATACATCTTTACAGTTATTTCGCTGTCAGACACAGGCCAGAAGGAAACATTTTCCATCTGTAACGACATCGTGCTGGAGGGAATGCTTGACAGGTATCTGCAGGAATGTCTCTCAGTTTGTGTCCATCATGAAGCGCTGACAGGTTTCATACATGGTTGTCCAACAAAGACTCAAGGATTCTTGAACTGTTCGTAATCGCAGTTGTTACTACAATAAATCTAAAACCTGGAAAAGAAAAACAACAGCAAGTTTATTAGTATAATGAAGACCTTCTTTCTGATCAAACAGAGAATCATTTACAATAAGAAATCCAGGTAGTTTCATGAAGATAATTCACTGCATGTGTTCACTTTCAAGTCAATAATTCTTACTATTTGTTTGTGTAACGTAAAAATACCTTTTATTTAGTTAACAGACACACATGTAAATAGAACTTTTCTTTGCTTTATCAGAAAAATTGTTTCCTATAATGAAGTGTTTTTGCTCACTTCTGACATGATAAGTTAATGTGATTTATACAGCTGAATATCAGTTATCTTTACAATCCCCAGAACACAACACACAACAAAATGTCGCTCCAAAAAGCCCTCAGCCAACTAAATATATAAAAAGTCATAGCCCAATCATGCTCTACACAGTCTTTAAAGCATAGCAACTGAATGTCATTATCAATCATCCAAATTGTTTATTTATCCCGAGAGACATTGGGTTTTGTAGTTGATCGAATTAAGAAAAAAATTAAATAAAAGAAACATTTAAGAAAAATATAGAAGAAAAATAATATATATACAAACAAATTAATTTAAAGAAAGAATGTGCAATGATAAGACAAAAGTATTCGTAAGATTTGAATGCATAGTTGCAGTTTAATGTAAGTTTAATATTTCTTTATCGTAATGTTATTAAGAGAAACACAAGGGGTGTAAGGTTTCTGCTGGTAAAGCACCATCATGTTGATTTTGATTGCATTTTAAATATCTTAATTGTATTGTATCCTTGTATTACACATTCTTACTGTAACTTCTTACATTTGTATAATTATTTTGTCAATATTTCTTTCATTTTAAAATGGTTTTATTTCAAACCGTAACAAAACCCAATTTCCCCTGGGGTATTCTTAAAAGTGCAAGAACAAACTACAAATCACACCATCCAAGCAAATATCTTAAACATATTTAAAAATTCCCCAAATCTTAAAAATGTGTAGCCTGAGAAATCATCAGGAGCAGTTGAGAATACAATGAGGCTGTGAGATTAACTGGTACAACAGAAGAAGTGAAACTCCAAGCAACAGCTGCACAAACAGGAAGAATGAAGCCGAAAGGGAGGAAACCATCAGAAGGTGACTGGCAGACAAATGTTTACCCTTCTCTCTGCCGAGGAACCGTAGGGCTGAGATCTCAGAGAAGGTGCAGCCACCGAGGAACATGACGAGGACGATGCGCTGAGCGTCGCTCTTTGCTTTTGAATCGGCTCCTTTGTTGCCTGAGGAGACGAAGCATTTAGCATTCATCAGTTTATTAAGACGTGGCTTTACTTGAAACAAGGTTACTCTGAGTAATCTTTTCACACAGAAAACAGTCGTTCAGTAATCAGATTTCTTTTTCACATTAACCTTACTTTAGGACCACAGCTCACTTGTTTTAACTGTATTGTAATAATGCAAGCTGTGACCTCCTACTTCCTGATGTTTTGTCTTCTTTCTGTCAGTGCACATTTTTAATAGTGTAAGCCTTTAGTGAGAATTCTTATTTAATTATGAGGATTCATCGCTAATGATTTCTCTCTTATCATCCCACCACTTAGCCATTAGCTAGTCCCCGTCTAAAGTCCTTGTCATTCCATCTGTACAAGTACAAAGCACATTTGAGTGCATATAAATGGGGGGAAAATTGCACAAAATCTAGTCTAGGAAATCAGCTTTCTCTAACCCTAGTTCCAAATAATGTGTTTGCAGTTCACAAAGTGTTTAAATAATCAGAGTATTGCAGAATATTGCCAGTATTCAACTTCAACATTACATTCATATCTCCTTGTGATCTAACCTGTAACAGCAAATTCATGCCCGTTCAGCAGCTTGGTGACTTCTTCAAGACCAGTCCAGCCGTCTCGATCCAACACCTATAACACGACCACACCAGGAATAATATTACAAATAAGTTTCAAGATGGCACTGATGATCTCTCATTGGTTTCCTCAAACAGTCAACGAGCCATGTGACATCATGCCTCCAGCCGTGTGACATCATGCCTCCAGCCGTTTACTCGCCTGCTCCACCAGCTTGCAGCTCAGAGGGACGTAGGCCCCGCTGAAGATGTAGGCCATGTCTCTGGGGACACGCAGGTCATATTCTTCATCTGACCTTGGCACCTTTACACCAAATTGGAACAATTACTTAGTGACATAATAAAACCTGATGAAAATGCCGTTTGGAGCACGGTAAAGATGATCTTTTACCAGGTTGAGCTTTCGGCTCAGGGCTCTGAAATGGCTCTTCCTCGCAAGAGAAGAGAAGGCATCAGTCAACTTTCCTGAAAAACACAAAACAATGAATAATACAAATGCAGATGAGGAGGATCAGGATAGATGATAGGAAGTTAAAAATAAGACGATAGAAATGTTGATGACTGGAATATTATATATAAAGTATTTGTATAGGAAATAATCAATTTCTCCATAAAGCTTCAGGAGAAGACTTTGAGGAAACTTGAACAAAGTAGAAGCATTCTATTTTCCAGAGATGGCCTTCTTCAGCTTAAATATGAGAATAAGATATTTTTAGACAAATAGAAAACACTCCTTGTCTTTATTGTTTCATGTTGTGGTTTTTTCCCTATTTCTGTATATTTTGTTTGTGCTCCTGCCATGTGTCATAAGACTGGAAAAAACAAAAGATGGATTACTGTATTGATTGAACTGCTGATGATGTGCAAACTGTAATATAAGTACCACACAACTAAAACAAGATGAAGCCTGTCTCACCTGCAGTTTTGTCGTTGACCAGTTTGCCCACTTTGCTCTCCATGACGGTCAGCATCTCCCCGGGCTGCTGCTCCACCAGCAGCCCCAACTGCCTCAGGTTGGCAAATGTGAGCAGGTGGTCCACTCCATAGCTCTGCAGGGGCCAATCAGAGAACAGCTTTCATATTAACAACAATGGCTCCTTAAATTAGGACAGGTTTTAAGGGGAATGCTTTATCCATTGTCAACCAACACCATAAAAAGACTCAAACCAATTTGATACTGAGGATGTCAATCTTTGTTTCCTAAAATGTACAGTGTAGTTTGAAGCAGATATTAACACAGGAGAAAACAGCTTATTTATTGGGGACTTCTGTCGATTTTTGCTCTAATGACAATTTCTACAATACTAACCCCTATTTATTCATACCTAAAGCGGCCAAAATCATAAAAATATAAGAAAGAAATATAACTCAAAGCAAAGTGCCGCTGAGCGAATCTTACACATGGGTAAAATCAAGGGCCGAGCAAAAGCCGTTTTAGTGCAATTTATTATACCCATATACAAGCGTTTTTCTTCGTTCATAGGCCTACCGGGTGCGCCGCCCACTACCACCTGTTTCCCAGATTTATAATGAGCAGGTCTCCCATCCCCCGGTGCCCAAAGGCTGCCTTTACAAAAACAGAGGCATACTACAACGTATTTGATAAACTTAAGTAAGAATTAAAGGGGAAGATTTACTATAAACAAAAAAGAACAATAAAATAAATGGATAACTATTAAATAATACAAGCTCCTAGATATGGTTTCATCAATACCCAATGTGCTCAGTAGCAGGGAATTACACACAGACATAGCAGAAAGTAGTATGTGTAAGTAATATAAGTATAGTATTAGATTAGATTGATTGACCCCAGGGGGAAACTAATTTTCACAGCACTGCACACAGTATACATACAATATATAAGCAACAAACAATAACACAGACAACAACAGATGGTGAAACACATGGCAGTTAGCCTTAGCGAGGCCTGTTATTTAAGGCAGAAATGGCTGCCGGAACCAATCTTTTTCCAAAGCGAGCCCTTTTATGTCTCAGTGCATGCGCCCGGGTGGCAGTGGGGCGAGGTACTGATTGAGTGGATGTCCGGTTCTATTGTGGATGCGATGCGTGAGATGGCCCTGTTGTTAAGTATTGTGAGGTTTGGTGTAAGAAGTCTGATTATCCTGGCAGCAGTGTTGGTGACGTCTGTCAGTTTTGTCCGGTTGGTGACAGTGAGCATGAAAAAGCAGGCGGAGGAGTACATGAGGATGGGTTGGATAATGCTTTGGTACAGTATTAGGAGAAGAGGGGGGGATAATGGATCATCTTTGTTGGCTCCTTGTGAAGATGTCAGTGGTGTGCTGGTTGAAATTAAGTTTATTGTCCAATGTTACTCCAAGGTATTTAACGCTGTCGACTGGTAGTATGTCTAATGCCAGTTCATTTGTGGCTTTCAAAAACATAAAATGTTTGATTGTAGGACACGGACAGCATTTTCTTAATAAAAAGACAATGTTGAATCTCACCTGTAGAAACTGTGTTTTTAGTGAGCGAAAGTCTTTTGGCAGAAGTCCTGTGATAAAACACGGTTTTAATACAACATTAGAATAATATGAATCCGTTTTTGAATTAATATTTACACAAAGACCACTCACCGTTTTCCGTGATGGACAGAAGACAAAGCAGCCTCAGACTTTCTAGCATAGAAACCTTTGAAAAATATAAAGAGGTAAGTTTGCAGCATTTCATTTTTTACATTTCACCTGTTCATATCAGACTGTGCAAGCAGGCGCACCCGTCTGTTGATGTGCTCCTCTATGAAAGAAATGCTTTCCCGGATTTCAAATCCTTCAAGTAAAGCTGGAACAGAAAGCGAGTCAGAAGTGAACCCTTTGAAATCATTAATATAATATTTGGACACTTTAGTATTCTTACAGTGTTCTGTCTTCAGCAGCTCCTGAAAGTCCTGCTTAGTTTTCTGCTTCATTATGGATTCACTGGCACCGATGTCTGAAAGAGAATGTCAGTCATTATTATTGGATGTATACAGCACATGCCAGTTGATTTGATTTACTGCTGTAACACTCACGTAGGCTAAGCAGCCGATGTTCCTGTTTTAACCCTTTAAACTCTTCTGACACAAACGTCTTCATCTGCTTTATGTCCATCCCCCGTCGCTTCTGTAGAATCATCACAGTGTTAGCTCTGTCACTCACAGGCCAAGTTATAATGAGGGTTATCAACAGTAACTCACATCATATGCCGTCTGGAGATTCCTGGCTTTCTGACTGAGAAAGCCAAAGACGTTTGAGAAATGCTCGTTTCTGATTTCGTTGAAAACCTATGAACCAAGCAAGAGTTACAACAGATGATTAACTTAAAGTCATGACAATGGAGGATCTCTAATGTCAGCAGCTTCCTACCTTATCCCGAGAGTTCAGCATGACTTTCATACTTTTGTCAGAGGAGGTAACCTCAGGTCCAAACTCCACACATCCTGCAGAACAGACACTGTGATGAGACATGTCCAAATACATCTGCAACCAGAGCAGAATCATACAAATACCTGATCAGATTAAAATATTCTCTTACACCTACCACATTTGATTCGAAAAATATCGTCCACGAGTCCTTCATACACAACTTGTGAGCACAGAGGAGTGACAAAGTCCACGTCTGCAAACATAGAGACAGAGTTATGGGGGACAGAAAGCACATCTCTGCATGTCATCCGCTGAGAGGGCACATGCATCCTCACCTCTGTCGATGAGAAACACTTTTCCTATTTCAGCCTTTTGAGCTCTCTGCTCTCCCTCTGCCACCTGCTCCCTCCACGACTCGTACGCCATCTGTTAATAATGGACAGAATTAGGGATTATTTGGGAAAACTAACTATATTTTTGGGGTTTTCCCTTTCCTGTAGTTATGTAGGTTTTTTTCCATTAGACTCCTTTGTTAACTTCCGTAACAGTGACATTTATTACATTATTATTACATGTGAATGACTCACATACATTCAATGGGCAATCCACTCAGGATACATTTGATTTGGTCAAGGACACATCGGAATGCTGACTGACTGCAGCGGGATTTGAACAAGTTCCCTCATATTCCCAAGATCAGCGCACTAACACACTGAGCCACAACCTCCAACATTACATTACATGTCACTTGTTAGACGCTTTTATCCAAAGCGACTTCCATACTCAATATTGTGGGCAATCCCCACAGGAGCAATTTGGGGTGAAGTGTCTCAGGGACACAACGACATGCTGACTGCAGTGGGGTTTGAACCTGTGACCATCTGATCCGCATACCAAGGCTCTATCCACTGCGCCACACACCTCCCACAACATCACAATGTAACACTTGTGCTTCTATTGGCTAGCGCTCCAACACATTGTACGTGATGAATAAGGGGCAGGACATCTCTACCTATCACAACAGAGTCGGCCAGCTAACCAACCAGAGCAGGCTGGGCTCTGGTTTCAGACAGAGGGTGAAAAGAGGTGCTGCAGCACAGGCAGTATGAGAACAATAAAGACCTTTTTGATCATTGAAACTTGTAAACATGTTGCAGTAGAGGCACTACATACAAATATATACCTGAAAATGAGCATAATAGGCCCCTTTAAATATTATCTGACAGTTTTTGGTCGTTGATAATACCGCACCTTGGAACATCGGCCAATCCCATAGATCTTTGTAAAGGGCCCGTAGAGCGAGTGAATGAGGTGCAGAGCGCTGCCGGCGGTCTTCACCCAGCGCTGGTCCCCCGCCTGTGGGAGGAAATACAACGTGATGCTCATGTTCTGCTACTCGGGTGCTACTGTATGTACTACAATGACATTTTACTTTCTTATACAAAAAGTATGGTTAATTGGTTAATAGATTGCAAAATGGCGCCTCTTTCCTCACAATTTCCTAATATTTATGAAGTGATTAATAATGAAAATAATTCTTAGTTGCATCAGATCAGAATTCACATTTACAGCCATTTCAATTTACTGACAAAGAGTGCACAGTGTCCAGCAAAGACAATGGATTTTGGATGATTTGTGTGTATGGTCTGATAATTTTTTTACTGCTATCTGACAAACTGTACTTATCCATATGTTCTTGCTGATCTAATCGAACAATTTGTTTCATCTGCCATATTTTTCTATATCATAATATCAGACTTCTACTGCAATAAATGATTTGGTAATTTACTAAATAGTCAATCAACTAATATTTCCCATGCATATTATTTACCAGGAAGTTGTCTCGGAAGAATTCCGGCAGCTCCAGACTGATGATGTCATCGTCGAGCGGAAGAAGATAGAAAGACCACTCATCAGTGGTCACATCTGTGGGAAGACAACAACAAGTGTAACATTTCCTCTCACCCACACTGATCACTGCTACTGAAACACAATGTGAAAGAAGAAGAATGCTCACCGCCGATGATCCCCTGCTCCTCTAGCACCGCATCGCATGAATAGAACTGCACAGAAGAGGCAGAAGGTTAATATCAAGGACTTCATCCAAAAAGCAGAGTGTGTGCACAACAATAGAGGGGAAACAGATATACCTTCTTTGGGGTAAAGATTATCTTGTATCTTCTACATTTTCCTGCTGCTTTGTCTGCATTGGCCACATCTGCAACAGGAAGGAATAAACATTACATTATTTAATAGGCTTATTGTACATTATTCAAGGGGGCAATGTTATAACTAAGTAACTGCATGTATAAAGGACTGGGTATAGTGGGAACTGTTTGATGCAAGTGCCAATACCACAGCTTAGTTTTGGCACCAACAAACCTTTTTATAGCACTTATTTTGAGAAATATAAGCATGCTTTTTTCAAAATATATATTTATATATGTATTTTGATATGCAAATACATCACCATATTAAGTAACATATCATCACTGTCGGTAGCACCTGGGCACCCTTTTTTTAGGTTTTCACTTCAGCTAAAGAACAGAACATTTCAATGTGTGTTGAGCTAACTTTACAAAAACTTGCAATTCATAATAATCTAAATCATTAAAAAAATTATAATAATAATAAATTCCAACCATAGCCAAGTTCTTTACAAATTTGAAGATTTATATTTTTTTAAGCGATAAATCAAATGACCTTTTCAGTTAATAAGTATTCTGCTTTAGTTTAATGGTGTTATGTATTCATCTCTCTAAATCATAAGCTTCATACTAACCTACAAAACAAATCCAACTCTACTTACCACATATCCATTTCACAGTTTGTAGTCTTGGCCGGATCAGAAAACAGAGCCTGCAAGAGAGTAATGCCACATGGTGAGGCAGTCGTATCAGGCATGCGTGTGTGTAATATAAAGGTCTTAGATGATCTAAGAAGTATGAAGTGGCAGGGCTCACTGATCTGAGGTGCTGATAACAGGTTTATATTCCACTTTGTAGAGTTTGTCAACTTCATGTTGCTGTAAAAAAAAAAAAACATTTAAAAAAAGATATTAGAACTGTAGATTTTCAATCAAAAAAGAGACAATCTGACGAGGTTTACCTTTAGTATTGACACATTGGCGATACGATCCAGCGGGCTCATCAAGTCAGGCTCAATGAAGAGGTCCTTCTTCCCCGGCAGCTGTGAGATAGAGAGAGGGAGATGAAGAGATGCTCGCTAAAGTGCTATTTGGCAACATTGGGGAATAAAACATTTATTTAACCAAGTGTCAGGCTCAGCATGTTGGTTTTCAAACTAAAATTGTAAACAAATTAAACGTATTTAAAAATGACGCCCCATAATGTCAAACATTATTATCCGACCCTATTTACCCATTGCTTCCTATTGTAGAAGTACATCTTTAAATATTAGGCAAAAAAAGAAAAGTTACATTTCCTTTGGTTTTGTAGTGAGTATTTTTGTCAGCAAGACGATCCAGTGGAATTGATTCAAAATAAACCAAGGCGTGTTCATGGCAATGAAGGAGCATATTTCAAAGTGCAACAGTGGGTTTCTAATAGTATTTGGACACCAGTGGAGCTCTTTTTTGGGCACAGAGTAACAGGCTTTGGATATTCAGAAATAGTTATTGCTCGTGATTTTTATGTTTTCATAAGATTTGTTGACAATAATGGAACTCACTTTTGTGAGTAGACTGTACAAAAGAAAATGAGTCTGACATAACACTTCTGACAATCACATGAGGACAAATGGGGCGTGGTCAGCAGTGCAACGTCTCCTTCGTAATCGCTCATAGTCCCCTCATTGTAAAGTTTATTTTGGTAATTAACAGTTGTGTATTCAATAGAGGTCCTATTAAAAACATTAACATCTGCATTATTTACATGCCAGTCATATCAGTAGGATGTTAGAAGCCAGATGTCAGCCTATAATACATTTTAGGACATATTGTGACTTGGTCCTACCTGTTCCAGCAGGTAGATGAGATGATCTCTGGCCAGCGTTTTTAGCAGAGAGAAGTCAGGGAGCTCCGGGCAATCTCTCCTGGCACTGTGAGCCATTCTGGGCCAACACTGGAACAAGGCAAAACTCACACATTCATTGCAAAGAACAAATACGTGTTAAATAGCGTAAATACTCCAAAAACATGTGGCTCATATAATTACAGAGAGGCTACATGCAATAGTAACACATACAAATGACTAGCATATATGCTGTGGTTCATCTAATAGCTAGGCTAGCTTGTAGGCTAAAAACACATCCTTCACATCACAGGAATATTCAAGACAACGATTAACGTTAAAAAGCTGACAGTTATGTAGAAATAATGTTACCTGAATATTCAATACATAACATATATAAGGGGGTGAATATATGTAGATAAAATAAGCAAAAGGTAGGTTAAGCTGATATTAAAAGCTACCTGCTTCCGTAGCTAAATAAGCGGAATCAATCGCTCCGTGATCGGTTTCCCCCCGGACACCAGATGGAGCGGACTGATACACTGACAGCGACGCTGCGACGTCGAAAGTTTAAATCACCTGACGCTGTTTCTCTCTCGCTACATGTTATTCTACAACCATGAATTCCGACGCAGTTTTGTTGTTAGAGACCGTGAATTTTGCCGCAGAGAAACACCGTAACCAGCGACGCAAAGACCCAGAGGCAACGCCGTACATTAATCACCCCATCGGTAGGTAGCGGTGCTTTAACCACAGACTGTATAAAGGTTTTAACTCTGCGGTGATGCCTTCAGGTGCTGCTGCGCAATCTTAATGTCCAACAATGCAGAAATCAAAACAAGACAACTCTGTACTTAAGTGCAATTTTGACGTACTTTATACTTCTACTCTATACTACAATTCTCAAGTAAATATTGTAGTGTCACAACACCAAATGTTTAATAATAAAAGAATATACTGGTCTGAGATCATATAAGGCTTTGTGTTTCACCGTTGACAAGCTACCTTGCAGCATACACTGTAGCGTTTTTAATAATAAAATGTAGCTCCACTTTGACAGCTGCAACATGAAGTGATATATTCTGTAGGAGCTATTTGTTTTAATTTGTCATTGATATTATTTTGTGGAAGATCTACAAATGGATTTTTAAATAGTTTCTGATGTTTGTCCGAAGTGGCTGGGATACCTGATACTTGGTAAGTTCCAGTGTGTCCCCTACCATTGTCTTGGAGGGGCGCTGAGCCCCGCCAACGGAGCCCCGCCCCCCCCCCCCCCCCCCCCCTCTTAAAATTCAAGGTGTTTAAAAATAAATACAAATAATAATCTTTATTTATCTATATATATATAGATAAATAAATAAATAAGCACCAAATTGCAACTAATCTATATACTGTCACTTTTCACATTGAACATGTGCTCTTTTATTAAATAAACGCTTTCATTTTAAGTTGTGAGTTTAGTGTTTTTGACCCTAAGAAACACTGATGCATTAATCAATAACAATAATCCACAGCTCCTCTCCCTGCTCCAGAGGATTTAAAAAATAGATATCCCCCCGTATGATTGTTTATGTTGTCTGTCCTACTGCCGTGTTTTTAATGTTATGTATGTCTAGTTTTTGCACACTGGGACAGAGTTGCACTTTGAATCTCGTTTTTTTGTATAATGACAATAAAAGGCTTTAACTTTTAACTAGAAGGATTCTCTCTTCCACACCCCCAACCAAAATTGAGCATAACAGGGCCCCTTTAAGATATCATGTGGACTTTCCTCTTAATGCTCACTGTGTGTACTTTTAAGGAGTTGCAAGAATCATCAGCCATGAAGGAGGCGTCGCAAACATCGAGGTTTTGCAGGTACATTATCAGTTGTTATCAGTGAGTTGCTGTTACTGAAAGTGTTTCATGTGTAGTTGAGCCTGTGTGTTGTCTCTCCTGCAGGCGGCACTGCTCCATGACACAGTGGAGGACACGGACACTTCTTTTGCAGAGCTAGAAGCGAAGTTTGGACCGATCGTGGCTCGCATCGTTCAGGAGGTGACGGACGACAAAAGCCTGTCCAAACAGGACAGGAAGCGTCAGCAGGTGGAACACGCGGCTCACTGCAGCCGCCAAGCCAAAGTGGTGAAACTGGCTGATAAACTTTACAACCTGAGGGACCTGAACCGCTGCACCCCCTCCGGTCAGCACCTCTCTTTAACTGTCAATGGACTTCATGTTTCATGGGATTTATTTCATGTTTCTTAACAAATCCGATTTAGAGAACAAAATCCACAATGTGTTATTTAATCTCTTAATACTTTTTGACTTCCCTGCACTATTTGTTGATCTCAGAACCAAGAAAAATTCTCCCCAAGTGAGGATGAAAACCTTTAAAACGGTTTAAAAATATCTAGTTTCTTTTTATTTCTTTTTATGTTTTAAATACATAATTAATAAACAATTAACTGAAAGAGATAAGGGGCCTTTGCTTGGGAAGTGTTTCAGCTAAACGAGGCTTTAGCGACACAGGCAATTCTTGTTAGTGAGAAAATGCATTGTTGGTTTTGTTATAGGATGGATTTGATAAACTCATGACTATACAAAAAAGGTATATTGATAAAGTGTATTGAAGTCACCAAAACAAATGTACTCATACGGGAAATAAAACTGTCCAACAACTTAATGGACTGTATTAAAACTAAAATAAAACTGAAAGGAGAGTTTATGTTGCAGTTGTGAGATACATGTAGTAAAATTGTAACAACTCCTGGTGAAGTACTGTGTACCGATGCATGACAATGTATTTACTCACCATATTCCTCCCTCTCTGTGTGTTTTGCAGGCTGGACAGCCGAGCGGGTGCAGGAGTATTTTGTGTGGGCCAGTGAGGTGGTGAAGGGCCTGAGAGGAACCAACTACGCTCTGGAGGAGAGGCTGGAGGAGCTCTTCAGACAGAGAGGGCTCCAGCTCTGACAACACATGGGAGAGCACACCATTTTAATTACAATAGGATACATTTATTAGTTGTAAATTATAGAAATAAATCATATTTCATATGCAGATGTGTGGTTTTGTAATGTATGTTCTCATATTTTGGTTGTATAACTAAATTAAGGGTATGTTAAAAGTGAGTAATATCAGTTATTCAATTCAAATTCAAAGGTTTTTATATGCACATAAGCTACATTGTAGAAATGGCAATGGCAATGACAATCGTATGCCCCGAACTCCTCCAACAATGCAACATAGTTAAATAGAACATAACACAAATTCAAAAATAATTAAAGCTGCAAGCAGCATTGAGCGGGTCTTCGACGCTCCGCAGGCTGTTGTTCGTACGTCGACGTGTCACATAGGTGTCACGCCTAGATGTGTTGAGGGCTGCATCGTTATCAAACCTGTGAAGTTTTGGGCCGCTTGGAGCATGTTCAATGGAGTTATGAGAAAACCGTGTTTCATGGCGAGCATTGTGTTACCATGGCAACAGCATTTGACGAAATATCCAATCTGACACGTCGATGTCTTCACGGCTGGACTGTTAGCACATATGTTAACTTTGAGCACTTGTTGACCATTTGCACAGGAGTTATAACAATATTGTGCTTAACGGCGAGGGATGTGTTGCCATGGCAACAGCTTTTGAGGAAAACTCACTATTGTCATTGTGAAGGTAAACTTCTGTTGTTGCAATGTTGAGGTAGAATGAAGGAGTCTGGAACGTCGATTAGCCAAAGCACTAAGAGTTTATTGATCACAGTACATTAATTACATACGGCCGGGAGATCATCTTAGTTTCACACTGTCCTTGTGCTCCACCAAGATTATCTCTGCCCCAGAATAGACCCAACACGCATCAACATGAGGAAAGGCGGGATCACAGAAAGCCCGTGTTTACCTAATCAATAGCCGATGAGAGACAATGAACTACTTGTCTCAAGAGATGCAGATAGCCTGAAACCTTCCCCCCACAGGATATGCGAGAAGCGTTTGACCTGTGACCTCAACTTACACAGGAGTCTTTGACTGACTACAAGCAGATGTTTGCAGTATCACAGATTCTATAAAACAATAAGAAGCTCTATAAACAGATCAGATTAAAATATTCTCTTACAGATTCACTCTTTTTATCAATCTATTGATAACCAATTAACATTAGTCTAAGAATATTTCAGTCAATACTTAAAATCAATAAGCGTCCTCAGAGTTGGGTGGGCTCAGATACATTCATTACATTAAAAAAAGTAGAACAAGATTGAAAACATTTCAATCACTATGATTGAACACAGTCAATCATAATAAAAATCATCTCTCTTCAGTGCTTGGCATCTTTTGTCAAAAGGTACAATAATAAACACATGGGATACAAAATATTAGAGCAAAATATATGTTTCAAAAATAAGATCTTTTATCATTTATCACTCAGTTAATCTCATTCATCAAACACAGATTCTAAATCAGCTTACATCTCAAAGATTTACTTTAAGGCAATTACTTATTAAAAACACAATTAGAATTTAGGATTATAAGAAATCAATTGAGGTATAATTTAGGATTATGAGAAATCCACTTGAGGTATAAATCAGAATCATGAGAGATCCAGCTAAGGTTCCTAATTTAAGGTATAAATTCACAGTGATGAATCGATCAATCTGTAAACTGTAAAGTTACAGTGTCCTCAATCTTTAACATTACTTTATGTTTACTTCATTACGCTTTATTCAAGAGTAAGGCACTTAGTAATACATTTATTTCATTCAAATACATTTGTTCAAAATCTGAAAAGGAAAATCAGACATTCTATTTGTAAAACAACCTGAAAAGGAAAAAATCAGACATTTGTCCTTTAATCCAGTGTATCAACTGTAATCAATTATCAAAACATCTGTTCTTTATTCAGAATATCAACTTTAAACAACATCTCAATCGCTGAATGGAGGTACCCACGGGTCGGAGATCACGATGGAGACCCAGGGGTCCGGAAGCTCGGCATTGTACATTAATATTGTGTCCATTACAGTCGAATGTCCAACTAGCCTTTGTGGGGCCTGGAGGGCGGTCTTGGCAACCCTTCGTATGGCTAATTTAACCACAGTGATCAAACAGATCACTAGGATTAGCACAACCAAGATAAACACTGAAACAGTAACAACAAATTTAACCAGCCCCGCTCCCCAAGATCCAAAAGTTCCACTTAATACCCCAAATGTAAACCCATGAGTTTCATGCAATTCTTTTATTCCCCTGGCAGTATCATGAGCCATGTCCATAACTTCAGGTGTGGCATCAGATATGAAAGAACAGCACTCACTTCCTATCACCTTGCATGTTCCTCCTTGGGCCGCTAAGAGGAGGTCAAGCGCCATACGATTCTGTAGTGCTACTGTCCTAACTTCCTGCAATTCTTTGTGTTCAGCTAACATCGCTGTGTTGGATACATTTAAATGATGTTCTACCACTTTAGACAATGCGACAATTTCCTGCTGAGTGACATAAATACCGTACCAAGGCAAGAATAGGCTAGCTATCTGTTGTCCTTGTGTAATTGACCTGCTGTTCCTGTGTAGAGAGGGAAGTATTGCTGCAATCTCAGTAGCCTCTACTTTACGGATTAAAGGGATTAGGTAGGCTAGATAACAGGTACCATAAAAACATCATATGGCACACATCCATAGGCCCGGTCCCCACAAACTAAGTAAACTCTCTGTGGGAGGGGAATTCTGGCTATATGTACTCTCACTATGGCATTACAGTCGCTGTGTCCCAC